TTGCTGGACGGGCCGCCGCGACGGTCTTCGGGCGGGGACTGCCGAGCCCTTTTCGAAAGCGCTTCGGGGGGGTCAGCCCGAAAGTGCTCCGGGTTACCTTCGAGCGTTTTCCCGCTTTCTTAACTGCGGTGACTGGTAACCGAGTCTCGGAGCGCTCCCTGGAGGGCAATTTGTGCATACTAATTTCTAAACCAGAATTTGAAATAAATTCCCGCCTTTTTATGTGTTTTTTTTTTTTAATCTGGAGGGCTTTTTGAACGGTTTCTGTTTTTCTTGTTTGTGTTATTCTTTTCCAGTAACAGGCTATGTTTTGGTGGAGGACCTTAAAATGAGCATTTAAAAAGACGCCATTAAGCGGTTATCTTAGACACTCAAACATTTTAAAATTCTGGTTGTTAAGGGCTTGGGTTTTTGGATTTTTTGGTCAGTTTTGTAGGAGGAAAGCAAAGACTTAGGATGATTGAGACACGTTTATTTCATGACACTCTGGTATGTCAGTGTCACAGTTTGGAATATCTCAGATTGGCTCCAGCAAATGGATATTTTGTTTGAGAACAGTTTGAGGGTTTTGTTCGGTGGGTTTCTATAGGTTGTTTTGCTGGTAAGAATCTATCTAGTTACCAGACTTTAAATCCTAATAGAATGTAGTTCAAAGTAGTAATTGATGTAAGGGACAATGCTTTGTAAGACTTAGAATATTGAGCTTGGAGCTGTTGCTACTAATTATTGGTATAATTCAGAAGTACTTCTTTCGAAGTTATGTTGTTTAACTTCAGTTTTAAAAGATTGATCTCATGTGCTTTCTGGACTACCCTATAGAAATGAAAGAAAGATGTAATAGATACCTGTAAATTTAATTGAAAATCTTAGCCTGGGCTTTCAAGAATTGAAAATCTTATAACCTACGCAGTGCCTGGAAAATAGTAGTACTAGGTCTGTATTTGTTCAATAAATAAACGACTGCTGGGCCGGAATGAACCAGGAGGTCACGTTGGATTCCTGGTCAGGGCACATGCCCGGGTTGCTGATAGGGTTGCAGATGGATCGGTACCAGAGGCAGCCAGTCAATGATTCTCATTGAGTCTCAGTCTGTCTGTCTGTCTCTCTCCCTTTTCCTTCCTCTCTGAAATAAATCTATATATTAAAAAAATAATAAACAAATAAGCAAAAAAAAAAAGACTGACCTTATTGTTTCTGATGTCTTGTTTTTGTGGATTTGAAGAAAGCCACTTGACTTCCATAAAAAAAAAAAAAAACCCAGAAATTTACATTTGAAGTAAAGCATATCACTTACCTGTTTTTCTCCAGTCCTTCTGAAAAAGAAAATAATGCTCAAACTATTTCAGTAAAGATTTGGCTGAAAATGAAATGAGCACACTTAAAAAAAAAACAGGTCTTCTATAGAACCCTATCCTGGTGTGCATACATTCTTTTTTTGAATATATTTTTATTGCTTTCAGAGAGGAAGGGAGAGAGAGCTAGACATGTCAAGGATGAGAGGGAGAATCATTGATTGGCTGCCTCCTGCACTCCCCCTACTGGGGATCTAGCCCACAACCCAGCACCCAGCCGTTGTCCGGAATCGAACCCAGGACACTTCAGTCTGCTGGCTGACACTATCCGCTGAGCCAAACCGGCCAGGGCCAAACATTCCTTTTTGTTAATTCTTAACCGAGGGCCAAGCATTCTTTTTTGTTGTTAATTCTCAACGGAGGATATTTTGTTGTTGATTTTTAGAGAATGGAAGGGAGGGAGTCTGGAAAAGAGTTGGGGGTTAGCAACATCGCGGTGAGGTCGTCAGAGGGACATATTGTTTGCCTCCTGCACACTCCCCACTGGGTATGTGCCCGCAACCAAGGTACATGCCCTTGACCGGAATCGAACCTCGGACCCTTGAGTCCGCAGGCCGACGCTCCATCCACTGAGCCAAACCAGCTAGGCTGCTAGGGCATCATCGTTGATGTTTTTATCTCCCTCTCCCTTCCTCTCTGAAGTCAATAAAAAAATATTTTTAAAAAATGGTCTCTTAAAAAAGTTAATAGTGGTAGTTGCTCAATAACATAATAAAAAGCAGAAATTTAAAATCATCTGTTTTAAAGCACATTAAGTAAAAGTGGTTATAATTTAACTTAGGAGTCTAATAGACAGGTTTGTCAGTCATAGGAAAAATATCTTGAATATATAGGAAAAGCATCTTGGCATTTATAATAGCGAAATTACTCTCTATTGAACATTCTTTTTATGTGTATAACATTTTATGTTCTAGTCATTGTTATCCCTGTTTATAGTAACAATATAGACACATTTCTTTTTTTTAATGGGAACTTGGGAAGAATTAACTTTTTTTGAAATGTATATTTTATTGATTCTTAGGAAGGGAGAAGGATAGAGTTAGAAACATCGATGAGAGAGAAACATGGATCAGCTGCCTCCTGCACGCCCCACACTGGGGATGTGCCCGCAACCAAGGTACATGCCCTTGACCGGAATTGAACCTGGGACCTTTCAGTCCGCAGGCCGATGCTCTATCCACTGAGCCAAACCGCTTAGGGCAACTTTTATTATTATCATTGATTTCAGAGAGGAAGGGAGAGGGAGAGAGAAACATCAATGATGAGAGAATCATTGATCGGCTGCCTCCAGCAGTGCCCCTCGTGGGGATCGAGCCTGCAACCCAGGCATGTGCCCTGTCGGGGAATCAAACCGTGACCTCCTGGTCCATAGGTCGATGCTTAACCACTGAGCCACACCAGCTGGGCTAGACTCACATTTCTTAAAGAATATTTTCTATCTGTGAGAAAGCCAAATTATGTTTGAGAGTTGCAGAAAAGGCAAATATTTTAGGTGGTGAATTTTTAACATTTTAAAATAAGTCAAACTGTGGATTTGGCCAAAGGCATAGCACTTAAACATGGGTTTATGAGGAATATTTTTAAAAAGAATGTTCTTACTGATTTAGAGAGAGATGAGGTGAGAGAAACATCCATCGGTTGCCTCCCATATGCACTCAGACCAAGGATAGAACCCGTAACCTACGTATGTGCCCTGATGGTGAACCAAACCAGCAACCTTTTGTGCAAGGGACAACACTCAACTACCTGAGCAGTTGTTTTCTGTCATCGCTGTGATCTCTCAGATTCATTTGATGTAACATGACAAAAATGTTTGCATGTCCAAAATTTGGTTTTGGTTTTTATTTTATGCATTTTGGTGATTACCAGTATTTTTAGGTGTTGAGATGATCTAGATTGTTGTCACAAAAATAAACATTTACAGAGTTGGCAGTCTGCCTGTTACTGCCAAGGTGCAAAGCATTGTAGCAATTTTGAATCCAGTAGAGCATAACATTCTTGAATGATCTCGCTCTGGTCAGGATTATGAATTCTTACCAGGAAATATTTGAAGACATGAAACAAAACATTAAAAAGTATGCTATGCGCCCTGGCCAGTTTAGCTCAGTGGATAGAGCATCAGCTCTCTGACTGAAGCATCCCATATTGATTCCAGTCAAGGGTATGTACCTCGGTTGCAGGCTCAAATCCCCCAGGTGGGAGGCAATGATGTTTCTCTCTCTGTGTCTCTTCTCCTTTCCACTCTCTCTAAAAATCTATGGGAAAAAATCCACCGGTGAGGATTAACAACAAAAGTATGCTAATGGTGGTACATATTAATTAAATCATAAATTGGCCATCAGACTCTACAAGAAGGTGTTAAGTGTACAGGCTTTTGAATCAGGGTTATAGATTTAAATTCTAGGTCAGCTGCTTATTTAGATGACTTTTATTTTTTATTTTTTTTATTTTTTTAATATATTTTATTGATTTTTTACAGAGAGGAAGGGAGAGAGATAGAGAGTTAGAAACATCGATGAGAGAGAAACATCGATCAGCTGCCTCCTGCACATCTCCCACTGGGGATGTGCCCGCAACCCAGGTACATGCCCTTGACCGGAATCGAACCTGGGACCCTTCAGTCCGCAGGCCGACGCTCTATCCACTGAACCAAACCGGTTTCAGCTAGATGATTTTTAATGAACATTGGCCATTAGATACTCAGTTTTCATTTGGAAAATAGAAATAATCTAATAGCTACTTAATTAGGTTAAGGCTTACAGTAGGTTGCATTTCTGAAAGTATCTAGTACTCAGCAATTTATACTACTACTACTACTACTACTACTACTAGAGACCCGGTGCATGGATTCGTACACTGGTGGGGTCCCTCGGCCTGGCCTGTGGGGGATCGGGCCAAAACCGGCTGACATCCCCCGAGGGGTCCTGGATTGGAAGAGGGCGCAGGCCAGGCTGAGGGACCCCACCGGTGCATGATTGGGGCCGGGGAGGGACCACGGGAGGGTTCCAGGGCATGTCCGGCTCGTCTCCCCCAGCCCTAATTGGCCGGACTCCAACAGCAAGCTAACCTACCTGTCGGAGCGTCTGCCCCTGGTGGTCAGTGCGCATCATAGCGACTGGTCGAGCGAACGGTCGGACACTTTGCATATTAGGCTTTTATTATATAGGATAATGTGATTTCTAAACTTCTTTGTTTTTATTTAATGACAGAACAATACAGTGTTACCATAATATATTTTTCAGAATTGGGTGAGGTAAGTTTGTGAAAGTGATGTATACATTGTATATTCAAGTGTTACTATACAGCATATTATGCAGAATGCCTGAGTTACCCATGCAAAAGTGTACTTAAGTTTTCTCTCGTAAAATGGGAATATTAGTATCTATCTCATAGGATTTTTTAAAAAAATATCTTTATTGATTTCAGAGAGGAAGGAAGAGGTAGAGATAGAAACATCAATGATGAGAGAGGATCATTGATAGGCTGCCTCCTGCACGCCCCCACTGGGGATCCAGTCCGCAACCTGGGCATGTGCCCTTGGCCAGAGTTGAACCTGGGACCCTTCAGTCTGCAGGCCAAAGTTCCATCCACTGAGCCAAACTGGCTAGGGCTCATAGGATTTTTATTGTTCATTAATTTAGTACATACAAGGTACTTAGAAAACAGCTTGGTATATAAGTATTCACTAAAATCTGTTTCATAACAATAATTATTATACTTCAGCATCTTTACTAATGGTAGTGATTTTAAAATAAGTAACTCTTAGGTGATACTATACAACTGTTGGATTTTATTTTTTTATTATTATTTTTATTGATTTCAGAGAGGAAGGGAGATAGAAACATCAATGATGAGAATCATTGATTGGTTGCCTCCTGCACGCCCCTACTGGGGATTGAGCCTGCAACCTGGGCATGTGCCCTTAACCAGAATCGAACCCAGGACCCCTCAGTCCGCAGGCGGACGCTCTATCAACTGAGCCAAACCGGCTAGGGCTTATTTTATTATTTTAAAAAATATATTTATTAAATTGATTGGGGTGACATTGGTCAACATGAACTTACAGGTTTCAGGTATGGGTTTCTATGTTAGAAGATCTGTATATTAGACTCTGCCCACCACCCAAAATCACATCTCCTGTCACCTTATATTAGGACACCCTTCTCTTCCTATCCCAACTGTTGGATTTTAAAGTTGAAAAGGATATTAGAGATCACCTGGTAGTTGGGAAGAAACTGGAGAACAGTGCCTGGCACTTACTAGGTACCGAGTATTTTTGACTGAATGAAACTAAGAGATTAACATGATTTAATTAAAAGTAACAAAGCTTTCTGAAGACAGGAATCAGTACAACTAATGGTTTCTTCCTCACTGAAACTGCTGGCTTGATAATTATGTATACGACACTACCTGTCTACCAATGTTTATTCTTATTAAAGTTGACATTTCATAAAATGACATTACTTTTCTGAAATTTTCCTACAAATTAAAAATAAAAATCAAGCCCGGATCGGTTTGGCTCAGTGGATAGAGCAGGGTCGATCAGGGGGTTGAGGAGCTCCCCCCTGTCACGCACAGAGCAGGGCAGATAGGGAGGTTGTGGCCCTGCTCCCTGTCACACACAGAGCAGGGCGGATCAGGGGGTTGGGGCGCTGCACCCTGTCACACTCAGGGCAGGGCCAATGGGGAGGTTATGGCTCTGCCCTGTCACACACAGAGCAGGGCGGATCAGGGGGTTGGGGCGCTGCACCCTGTCACACTCAGGGCAGGGCCAATGGGGAGGTTATGGCTCTGCCCTGTCACACACAGAGCAGGGCGGATCAGGGGGTTGGGGCGCTGCACCCTGTCACACTCAGGGCAGGGCCAATGGGGAGGTTATGGCTCTGCCCTGTCACACACAGAGCAGGGCGGATCAGGGGGTTGGGGCGCTGCACCCTGTCACACTCAGGGCAGGGCCAATGGGGAGGTTATGGCTCTGCCCTGTCACACACAGAGCAGGGCGGATCAGGGGGTTGGGGCGCTGCACCCTGTCACACTCAGGGCAGGGCCAATGGGGAGGTTATGGCTCTGCCCTGTCACACACAGAGCAGGGCGGATCAGGGGGTTGGGGCGCTGCACCCTGTCACACTCAGGGCAGGGCCAATGGGGAGGTTATGGCTCTGCCCTGTCACACACAGAGCAGGGCGGATCAGGGGGTTGGGGCGCTGCACCCTGTCACACTCAGGGCAGGGCCAATGGGGAGGTTATGGCTCTGCCCTGTCACACACAGAGCAGGGCGGATCAGGGGGTTGGGGCGCTGCACCCTGTCACACTCAGGGCAGGGCCAATGGGGAGGTTATGGCTCTGCCCTGTCACACACAGAGCAGGGCGGATCAGGGGGTTGGGGCGCTGCACCCTGTCACACTCAGGGCAGGGCCAATGGGGAGGTTATGGCTCTGCCCTGTCACACACAGAGCAGGGCGGATCAGGGGGTTGGGGCGCTGCACCCTGTCACACTCAGGGCAGGGCCAATGGGGAGGTTATGGCTCTGCCCTGTCACACACAGAGCAGGGCGGATCAGGGGGTTGGGGCGCTGCACCCTGTCACACTCAGGGCAGGGCCAATGGGGAGGTTATGGCTCTGCCCTGTCACACACAGAGCAGGGCGGATCAGGGGGTTGGGGCGCTGCACCCTGTCACACTCAGGGCAGGGCCAATGGGGAGGTTATGGCTCTGCCCTGTCACACACAGAGCAGGGCGGATCAGGGGGTTGGGGCGCTGCACCCTGTCACACTCAGGGCAGGGCCAATGGGGAGGTTATGGCTCTGCCCTGTCACACACAGAGCAGGGCGGATCAGGGGGTTGGGGCGCTGCACCCTGTCACACTCAGGGCAGGGCCAATGGGGAGGTTATGGCTCTGCCCTGTCACACACAGAGCAGGGCGGATCAGGGGGTTGGGGCGCTGCACCCTGTCACACTCAGGGCAGGGCCAATGGGGAGGTTATGGCTCTGCCCTGTCACACACAGAGCAGGGCGGATCAGGGGGTTGGGGCGCTGCACCCTGTCACACTCAGGGCAGGGCCAATGGGGAGGTTATGGCTCTGCCCTGTCACACACAGAGCAGGGCGGATCAGGGGGTTGGGGCGCTGCACCCTGTCACACTCAGGGCAGGGCCAATGGGGAGGTTATGGCTCTGCCCTGTCACACACAGAGCAGGGCGGATCAGGGGGTTGGGGCGCTGCACCCTGTCACACTCAGGGCAGGGCCAATGGGGAGGTTATGGCTCTGCCCTGTCACACACAGAGCAGGGCGGATCAGGGGGTTGGGGCGCTGCACCCTGTCACACTCAGGGCAGGGCCAATGGGGAGGTTATGGCTCTGCCCTGTCACACACAGAGCAGGGCGGATCAGGGGGTTGGGGCGCTGCACCCTGTCACACTCAGGGCAGGGCCAATGGGGAGGTTATGGCTCTGCCCTGTCACACACAGAGCAGGGCGGATCAGGGGGTTGGGGCGCTGCACCCTGTCACACTCAGGGCAGGGCCAATGGGGAGGTTATGGCTCTGCCCTGTCACACACAGAGCAGGGCGGATCAGGGGGTTGGGGCGCTGCACCCTGTCACACTCAGGGCAGGGCCAATGGGGAGGTTATGGCTCTGCCCTGTCACACACAGAGCAGGGCGGATCAGGGGGTTGGGGCGCTGCACCCTGTCACACTCAGGGCAGGGCCAATGGGGAGGTTATGGCTCTGCCCTGTCACACACAGAGCAGGGCGGATCAGGGGGTTGGGGCGCTGCACCCTGTCACACTCAGGGCAGGGCCAATGGGGAGGTTATGGCTCTGCCCTGTCACACACAGAGCAGGGCGGATCAGGGGGTTGGGGCGCTGCCCCCTGTCACACTGATCCCGGTGCCAGGAGGCATATTACCCTTTTACTATATAGGATAGAGGCCTGGTGCAAGGGTAGGGGCTGGCTGGGTTGCCCTGAAGGGTGTCCTGGATCAGGGGGGGGGTCCCCACTGGGGTGCCTGGCCAGTCTGGGTGAGGGGCTGAGGGCCGTTTTCACGTTGGCGGGTGACTGAAGCTCCCAACTGCTCCTTTTTTTCTTTTTTCTTTTTTTCTATTCTGGGCCAGCTTTAGCTCTGAGGCCTCGCTGCTGAAAACATGGATACAATGTTGCTGTCCGAGCCCCGCTGAATAGAAGCCGGTTTCTGGGGTTTTGTTTAGCTTCTTATTTGCAACATAGTACATAGTTGCTTAGAGTTGCAGCTGAGAGGCCGGCAGCAGCAGTCGGGGAATGTTGGAGTCCGCAGTCACTGGAGCAAGCAAGCCTCCCTGTTCGCTTCATTGAATGGCTGCCGGCCGCCATCTTGGCTGACAGTTAATTTGCATATACTCACTGATTAGCCAATGAAAAGGGTAGCGGTCGTACGCTAATTACCATGTTTCTCTTTTATTAGTGTAGACTAGAGGCCTGGTGCACAAATTTGTGCACGGGTGGGGTCTGGCCAGTAATGGGGGCCAATCGGGCCGGGTCGGTAGGGGGAGGGGCCGCAGGTGGTTGGCCAGCCAGCCCCGCCCCCAATTGGGGTTGGGGCTGCCAATCAGGCTGAGCTGGCCGAGGGGAGGGGCCGCGAGAGGTTGGGGGGATGATCGGGGCCCCAATTGGGCTGGTTGACCGCCACAGTGTGCATCATAGCGACCAGTCATTCCATCGTCATTCTGGTCGCTGGGCTTTTAGATGGATGGATGGATGGATGGATTGATGGATGGGGAAAATATGGTGTATATATAGGGTTCAGTGCTATGTGCAGTGTCAGGCACCCACTGGATAAGGGCAGACTTTTTTTCTTTTTTTTTTAAGGGAGAGGGAGGGAAACGTCAATGTGAGAGTGTCATTCAGCTACCTCCTGCACATACCCTACCAGGCATTGAGCCTGCATCCTGGGCATTTACCCTGACCAGGATTCGAACTGGCAACTTTTCAATGCATGGGACGACACCCAACCAACTGAGCCACACCAGCCAGGGCCAGACTTCTGTATTCTTAATGAGATGGTCATATAGATCTGGGATCTTGGAATATATCCCTTGGATAAGGGCAGACTACTGTATTCGTAATGAAATGGTCATATAGAACTAAATATGGCAAAAAAGCTTTGTCAGAAATGATGTGCCTAACTTCCTTCATGGGTCAAAAACTGGCTATTAAAGTCACTATATTATGAGAAGAATATTCACTTAGGCTTTGTAAATTCTGATGTGCTTGTTTAAAGGAAATCATTTTTATACATTTTTATGGTAAAGTCTTAAACTCCTAGATTAACTTAAACATTTAAATATTATAAATGTTTTAAAAGGCCAGTAGTGAATTGTATTTACAGTTATCTGGATGAAAATATTTAAATCCTGTCCATTTACTCGTTTGAATTTTTCATGCCATCACCTCCTCTTTAGACAGGTTAGCCCACATTGACTGTTTTAACAGTAATGTCTGGCCCTAGCTGGTTTTGCCCAGTGGATAGAGCATCGGCCTGCGAACTAAAGGTTCGATTCCAGTCAAGGGCACATGCCCGGGTTGTGGGCTTGATCCCCAGTGGGGGGCTGCAGGAGACAGCTGATCAATGATTCTCTCTCATCATTGATGTTTCTACGTCTACCTCTTCCTTCCTCTCTGAAATCAATCAAAAAAAAAATAATGTCTGTAAAATTGAGTTGATTGGCTTCTAGGTTTGTGTAATTATAACCAAACTTAGAAAATATCTCCAAACAATGAGTTACTTTTAATTTAGTCAAATAGCTGAGGCTTAATATAACTATAAATCAACTTGAAGGTGAATTTCCATGTTTATTGTACATAGTGTTATTTATACATTGTACATAGAGTGAACATTTTAAAATTCATATTGAAATGATAACTGGACCTTGTTTACAGAAAGCCACAAAGAAAACTGATAAACCCAGACTAGAAGATAAAGATGACTTAGATGTAACTGAACTCACTAATGAAGATCTTCTGGATCAGCTTGTGAAATATGGGGTGAATCCTGGCCCCATTGTGGGTAAGTTGACAAAATTTCAAATATCTTTTCTGTGAAGTAGTACCCCAAATTGTTTTTCCTTCTTACCTAGCAGTTAATTTTGGGTTTTAATGGCCACTCTGCCAATCATTTCTATGACCAGGACCTTACTTTTTTTTAACTATAAATGAGGGAAATAAAATGAGGGAATTGGACTAGACAGTCTCTAAGATTACCTCACCTCTGTGTTGAGATTGTTTCATATGTGCTCATATTGTATTACCTGGTGAGATACATGGTAATATGTGTCTTACATGTCAGTGGAGGAAAATCTGAGGTAACATGACTGGCCAAAGTCATTTAAATCAGTAATTTAGTAATCGACTTGTTAATATAACTTAAGTTAATCAATACCTAGCATTTTCAGTTATTAAAAGGACCCTTTTTTCTCTTTTTATTTTTAACGGGAGAAAAACCAATTTAATATGTGCACATGGAAGAATCATAAAAAGTCTTGTTTTGGTTAGAATTGAAGAATGATATCCTGAACAAACTAAAAAGAGAAAACTTGGAACTAAATACACTGAATTGCCATCATTTGGTTACTTTTGCAAGGCTGAGTATGCCTTAATTTTAGAAGGTCTTGGCAATATATAACCTCAGGATGAGGAAGTTCTACATATTTTGATCTTATAAGTTACTAGAGGCCCGGTGCACAAAAATTTGTGCACTCGGGGGGCGGGGGGAGGGGAGTCCCCCAGCCCAGCCTGTGCCCTCTCGCAGTCTGGGACCCCTTGGGAGATAACGACCTGCTGGCTTAGGCCTGCTCCCGGGTGGCAGAGGGCAGGCCCAATCCCTAAGTGCAGCCCCTGG